GTGAGGTTATCAGTAAGCCTCACGTGATTCAAGAAGTCTAGGAAAGGGAGATAAATGGGTAAAACAGAAAACCCTAGTGAAGACTTGAGGCTACAAGAGAATGCAGAGGGTACTTAGATGAAGCTACACAGTCAGAACCTCTTTGCCTTTATAATGTGCAGCCCAGTTTGCAGAGCTGGTACAACCAAAGACAAAAAAAAAAGAGATGTTTCCCCTTATTTATCAAACAGTGAAATCTCCCTTCTCTCCTGACCCCCTTATCTACTTCAGATTTTTTTTTTTTAATATGACAGTGCTAGAGAATTTGGTAACACAGATGGCAAATCTAAAAGGTACGAATTGAAACATAGAGAAATTCCCAAATTGTTCTTATTAAAGTGTGTATGTGTAATTCACTCACTCTGGAGACTAGAAATTCAGCTCCTATTTTTCAAGATTTATAAAGACAACAGAATGCTGTTTAAACAGGCGTACGGGGGGTGTTTATTTTAGTCTCTCCATTTCTTCCCAGGAAAACATAATTCCTGCACTCAGAGCAAATTATTCTGAAAAGAGGGTCAGTACACACATACAATTTCAGAAACCTTTATCGTACTGTCCTAAAACGCGATGTAGCACAGTGCCTCCCTTAGAAAGTTTTTGTGAACTTCCCCTTGCACGCCACAGAGAAGATCAGGTGGGTTAAATTTGGACCATCACACCATTTCTTCATTCCAGACTGTGCACTGGAATGAAGTGCTAGTCAGTCACCTTCGAGATATCTACCTAGAAACAGCACTTCGGACCTCACCCTACTTCGGGAATAAACATGAACCTGGTGAAATGATGTGACTGTAGGAGACAAAATCACCACCGTTCACAGAAGGTCAGGGTCGGCTGCTCACAAACAACCAACAAAGCAAACCACTCAAATGGAAAAGAAGAGGAAACACACATGGTGCAGAATTTTTTAAAAAGTATCAGAAAATCCCCAAACTCTATTGATAGGCCTACAAAACTTTTTTTTTTTAACAAATTATTTCCTACCCCACATTTTTATCAGAGACATTCATTCAGCATTCAATTATAAGGAAAAGAAAAGTGACCCTCCATACTATCCCCATCCCCTCCAGCTGTCAGACTCGAGTCATTTTGCTTATCAGAATGGGGTTTATGTTCCTTGTCCTAACGGCTCAGGCCCACACATGAGAAACCTAGAGAAACTCTTACTCTATACTTCGACATTCACTTAACAAATGTCCAGTGAGAGCCCACTATGGGCCAAGCAGTATTTTAAGTGCTATGGATTCACCAGACAATAACAGCAATAATAAAAACCATCCCTGCTCTCATGTCTCCAGTTGAGGAGACTGATGATTAACAATTAAGTATATAACATGTGAGGGTTGATAGGAAAGGGATGGATGCTATTTTATATGGGTCAGGGAAGGTTGCTTGGACAAGGTAACTCAAGAAGTCCTATTTAAGGTAGCAGAGAAGTTTAGGAAAGAAATATGGATCAATGGCTCCTCACCTGGACCCTAAACAATATTTGAGTATGGAGGTGGATAGGTGTAGAAAAACAAACTTGGAAAATGGCTCCTATTGTATTTTGAAAACGGCCAATGAGCACAGACCCTAAATTAAAGACTAAAACTATATTCCTGGGAAGCCCCCAAATAAATACTTTTGAATTGTTATATGGTGCACAAAAGCGTCTTGTAGAAAAGAGTTTCATGGTGGTGATAGACATAGCAATCCTTTTTTCTTTTACTGTTAAGACTGTGCTTAATGTTTAAAAACAGTTGTAAATGAGGTAGTGCTGAACACTGACTTTCAGTAACCAGAGAAGGTAAAATGAGGGTTTGATTTGCTTCATGTAAGACTGCTACTCAGTGCAATGTTAAACACTCAGAGTCAGAAGAACCACTAGAAGTCTTTTAAGTCAATTTTCTCATGTTGCCATCATGAAATGAGTCTCCAGGGGTGGAAGGGGCCCAGGGTTATACAGCTAACTGCAGCAAGAACCTAGTTCAGCGTTCATACTGGATTTTTCTTCCTCTCCACGCCAGGTTCATGGTCTTGGGAATTCACGGACCATGGGTAAGCAGAAGTGAAAGAGCAATAGTTTATTGATCATAGATGGGAAATAGAGAATAGAAAGGAAAGCTTCCAATGAAACAGAAGGGGTGCCCAACCGGATGTGGCTGCAGCATAGCTTTTGGGGTTTTTATGCCTTGTCTTATGCCCAAATGTTGCTAGCAAACACTGATTGGGTCCTTCAAAATTCACAGGCATGGATTGATTGGTTTCTTTAAACCTTCACCAGCCTCTGTTGATTGGCCCTCTGTTCACACTGGCATGCTTTTTTCGTCCAATCCCGGGGGGCGGAGGAGGTCCTGCCCCTGGCATGTCCTGCCTAGCAACAGCCAGTGGCCAATGGCTGCACAGGTTCCACAGGCGCTCTGGGGTGGTTATGAAACTGCCTGCTGGTGATTTTCCAGGCTTGCAGACTATGCCCAACCTCCTCTCCGAGCGACCCCTCTTTCTTCTTTAGGCCCCATTTTGCCTGCCTCTGCCTAAAGCCTTCTGACTCCTATCAGCGTGACTGCCGCTCTCTTATACAAGTTACCCTATCTTGGAACCAGTTTCAAACACCTTCAGAAGCAAAGGCGAGCTGCTAGAAAGATGGCGGCAGATTTAAGAGACAGTTGAGGGGACAGGCGGGCAAAGAGTTTGGGGTGCTGATCATGGGAACCACTCCTTCAGTAGCTGCTGTGATTATCACTCCCACATTCATGCACCACACCCAGACACACCTTCTTTGAAAATCGCTTGCCTTTCGTATGGCCACATCTCTCCGTGGTGCGGGCCTTGGCGCACCCTGGACGCTTAACGTCAGGGAAAACAAACTCAGTGCATAAAAATGTTCCAGGATTATAAAAAGGGTTACTAACCCCAAAATTTACAGAGAAAACTGAGAACTCCTCCCAAGCAAATGTAATTTTTAAAAGAAAGTCCTTAGCATGCTTAAAAGAAGTCTCCTGGAATTTAGGGGTTTTTTTTTTCCCTCTCCCTGAACACAATTTACAAAGGGATTTTAAAATTACTTTTAAGTCTGCCATGTGGCATCTTAAAGTTTACACTTCAGAAGTTCTTTGAAAACCTCACTTAACATTCGAGGTCTGACAGCGTGTCACATGAGCAGTTCAAAGCAACGTAAAAAAAACAAACACACAACAACAAAAAAATCCCCATCAGATTTGAAACAAAAGCTATCTTGATTATAGTAACTGTACAACTCATTTAAATAGAACCTGAAATCTAAGGCACTTTTCCATAAGACACTTGTTTCCCAGGATGAAAATACTTTCAAATTATCACCACAAGTGCATTCAAACGGCTGCCTGATTGGGAAAACATTTCTAGTAAAACACACTGTAACTGTAGCACCCAAATCTAATAGGGCCTCCAATTCTTTCTTGATAGTGATAGAAATGTTTACAACAACTTATTTTTTAGTAAATATTAAAGTACCTAAAACAATGCTCTGCCCTGACACGGACTCTAAACCAAGATAATGGCTGTTTAATAATTAGCAGTATGAAACACCATGCCAACTTAGAAAATACTACCTATGGGGGGTTAGCAACTTGTCCAAGATTGCAAATTTACTTGACCTTCATGGTAAAACCAGGAAGAGAATTCAAGTGACTTGATTTCAGGACTTTCCACGAGAATCGAGGTGATCATATGCACATGGAAATATAGTCAAACACCAGCATCTCCTGCTATCTGCTTACTGTAAGGCACTGGGAAATTCTGAATTTCACGAGCTCATTTATATATTACTATTTAACCCTAAGGATATGATACAGATGCAAATGTTTAGAAATCCATGACATATAAAAAAGATCAGGAAATATTTATTTTCAGTGTTAATGCTTTTTAGCCCTGCATCTTGCTTTTTCCAAATCTTGTAGGCAACTAGCAAAAAACAGGTAATAAATGCCTGGAAAATGTTCCTGATTGAATTATTAAGTTAAAAACTTTAAAGAAATGTAAACATATAAATAAGAATATACATGTATATTACAAAAATATCCATATATATCTATATATGTACCCAACAATCATCTAGTAGGGGTTGGGTCTTCGTAGTCTAAAATTTCAGGATAATCTCTCCTCTTGCTCAGAGGTATTCATAGGCCATCCTGGGTTTCCTGTAGTTATATTCTTTCCTGATCAAACCCTTTTAAACTTTTTTTGTGACACAGTCTGGCAAGGAGGTAAACTCTGCAGAAAGTAGCAGGGCTGGGCACACCCACGTTGTTTCATAACGGATGAGCTCCTTGAAAACATACTATGTCATCTCTTCAGTCACTTGACACTGAAACTTCTCATGCCAGGTGTCTGTTGGCTGACATGCAGAAACAACTTTCCTAGCCTCAAAATCCTAACCTTGTAACCTGAGAAAATCCAGAAAGATCAGCTAATTCTGAATGAGAGAAACACTAGTAATAACTGTTTTTATTTGTGTGCCTCAAAATTTTAAAAGTTGGGGGGGGGGTGTCATTCTTATCAAAAACTTCACCTAAATAAGAATAATTGCTGGGTAGAAAATCCTGGTTGCTAATTATCTGCCTGGAGAATTGCATTCCCTACTCACCAACCTAAAAGAATTGGTTGTTTTAAAAGGCTGCTCTAAATTCAAGGCTGCTCTAAATTTGATACCATTTGACTCTCCCCGTAGAACGGGTGTTCCTACAATGAAAGAACCACTGTCTTCCACTGTTTTATTTCAGAAGTTGATAATGAGCAGCACTCCCCAGAAACTGAGAGAAATCCAAGTTCATGGCACTTACAAACAGAACTCCTTCCCCTAAAAAAAGAAATTAATTGGATGATCACCTAGAGCTCATGCTAATAATCCTTCAACACCCTGGCTCAGTTACATCCAGCAATTCGCAAATCCTGACAAGGCAAGCCACTGCAGATGTTGCTCTTGGTAGTTAACTTACAACATTCACTGCACACTGTTCACAGGTAGCCTCAGCCTAAGCTTCACCATGGAGACTTCTCACAGAAGCTGAAGGGCTTGTGGATTCAGACGTGTTCTTTCTTCCTTTCACAGACAGGTGCGAAATACCTACCATCAGAACAAAACAGAAGAAAAGGAAAAAGGTCAATGCATCATGGAATCACCTGTTACCTTGACAAATAAAATTTTACCATCAATTGGATGAAATAATTCTCATAGTTCATTAGATTAACTGATAATTCACCAAAAGCCATTTTTCTAGTACCCATTTCTGAAAAAAGGAATTCAATAGTTATGCTGTTGCCCCAGGGGACACAGCCTGGTAGAGTCAGCCTTCCCCCCAACACCCATAAAGTCAAAGCTGATCCTGGAAGATTTCCAGATACATTCCCAGCCAAGATGCAAACTAGCAACACAGCCTTCAAACAAGCCACTTGATTTTGCTTTCTGCAAAAGGGACCAAGGACTATCATCTTTGGTCATTCTCAGACCTCACTAGGTTGCTGGGAAGACTAATAAGCTCATTCTTGCAGAGCGCTCACAGTTCCTGAGAATAAAGGCACTGTGTAAGCACAAAGTATTATTAGTGGTCAGAAGCCTGTTCTGAGCTCTGGAGCCAGAATGTGCATGCCAGCATTGGTTAGGCACCATGAACCCACTATCCCTGGATCACCCACATGTCTAAACATCTGCATGACCCCCTGTGCTGAGGTCCAGGGCAGAAGGGGAATGGAAATGGAGATGGCTGGGATTTCCAGGAGAAAGAAAGTGAAGGTATCAACAAAAGCCAAGAGAAAGCACACGGGAGGCACGAGAGGCGCATGCAGAGCGAGAGGCTCAAGCAGGAGCCTGGTTATTGGTCCGCCGCTCCCTCAGCTTGCTGCTTTGCAGCGCTCTGTGCACGGAATGTTTGTGAAATTTTCCACTTGGCTGTCTGCCATTGCCACCCACCAAGGATAACACTTACACCCACAGAAGTGGCACACCAAAGCCCTGATAGAAAAGGATTGGGTGAGGGTTTTTTTGGTTGCTTTTAACGAAAAGACTTGATCAATCCTAATCATTAGTATTTTCCACATCTGAGTTTCTTGACTTTTTATCCCCTTTGAGGCAGAACCAGAAACAGCTTCTTGAGGACCAATATGATCAAGTTATTCTGACGTGTGCACTCTTGAGGATCATACTTGAGGTAAAGAAACTTACATTAGTCTCACGAGGAGGACAAAAACCACAAGCTAGAGTCTTGTCTGCTTCCCAGATAAATCATCCACAGGGCCGGTCATGGTTTTCCTTTCAAAATCATGAGCATTGCTTTGAACACATACAGAGTTGCATATATCAGCTATGTAGGTGTAATAGATAATAGTTACGGGAGAAAAAGGGGTCCCTTGTCTTTTCAAAAAGGGACAAAAACGAATAGTAACAAATATTAGGCTTGGAATTGGTAAAATATTTTGAGGAATTGGTAGACCTCAAAATAAAGAACTAAAAAAAAGGTTGAGAGATAAAATTAGGACAGAAGGGAACAAGGAGGTGTCTGCTCCTCATATAATTAACTATCCTTTTTATAATGAATACAGTTTACCAAGTGCTTTCTCATTAATTAACTCATTCACTCAACAAATTTTTACTTGGTTGGGCTATATGCTTAACTGGGAACGCATGTAAACAAAACAGACCGCTAGTACCCTGCCCTCAAGGAGCTCCTTGTCTCAAGAGCTTTAAAGAATTTTAAACATCTCTAAGAGACACTAAAGAATTATATGACTTTTCTGGGGTGGCACCTGTGGCTCAGTGAGTGGGGTGCTGGCCCCATGTACCAGAGGTGGTGGGGTCGAGCCCAGCCCCAGCCAAAAGTGCAACAACAACAACAAAAAATAGAATAAAAATTATAAAAAAAAAAAAAGAATTATATGACTTTTTAGTACATGTATAAAATTTGACAACCAGAAAGGCACGATGAAGAAAAAAATAAACATTGTGATTTAAGGGCACTCGTAGTGGGAGTACCTCATTGAGAAAGAGGATCTCAGGAAGGCGTTCTTTGCAAAGCTAACAGCGGAGCAGGGAGGTCAGAGCTGAGGAGAAGTCAGCCAGGCAGTGAGTTTCCAGGTAGAGGAAACAGCCTGAGCACCATTTGAACTGATCTAGAGATGGACAACTAATTTATGTCATTCCACTTTTTTTCTTCTTGGTCATTTCAAGTGGGTCTCCTTGGTCAAGAAATGAGTGGCACAACTGTTCTCAATACCTTGAAGAAAGAGATGACTCTTCTTCCTGCTTTTGGGGCCATGAAAGGAACAAACACTAGTAATTCTGCAAGAGGAACACCACTCTGTAAAGGTATTACTCTTGAAGTAACAGGAAAAAAATTTCGCCCATAATGCACCCCATGTCACCCCCATCATCACAGTGAGAGGAAAGGGAGCTAGCTCTCTGTTGATAACTGAATGCCGCAGCTGGAGTTAAGAAAACTCTCCCCACAAGAACTAAAAACAGATTATACTACATGTAGACTTCTGAAAAAAAAAAAAAAAAAACAATCGTAGTACCTTGTTATAGGGTCCAAATTTTTGGTTTCCTCTTGACTATAGGAAATTTTTATTATTTCTTCCCCTTGAACTTAAATGGCTTTAGGTCCACCTTTAACAGTGTCCTGTTAACCTTCCCTTTTGGTTCTTGTTCTAGGGATCTGCTCACTTTCCCATGTGAATAGCAAGATGCAAAGAAACAAAAAGTAAGGGAGGCTCAGCACCCGCAGCTCAGTGGTTAGGGCGCCAGGCACGTAAACCAAGGCAGGTGGGTTCAAACCCGGCCCGGGTCTGCTAAACAATAGTGACAACAACAACAACAACAACAAAAAAAACAGCCAGGCATTGTGGTAGGGATCTGTAGTCCCAGCTACTTGGGAGGTTGAGGCAAGCGATTTGCTTGAGCTCAAGAGTTTGAGGTTGCTGTGAGCTGTGATGCCACTGCTCTTAACTGAGGGTGACATAGTGAGACTCTGACTCAAAAAAAAAAAAAAGTAATGGAAATGCTGTGTTCATCTGAAGTGTATCCTTATTCCCTATCATCCCAAATCTGCCTCAACTTAATTCTTCCACTAAGAAAAACCAGTAATTTGCTTTCTCCATCCTACAATACTAAAGCATCTTTGAACAGGCTCATTCATGTTCTTCCCAGGAATGCAGTAATTTTGAAAGTCTGTCTGAAATTAATAAGCCAGACTTTTATCTGAGGCTCTTTCCATTTAAGATGGCCAGGATAAAACGTAATTTCTCCTACAAGTTCTTCATACAAATAAATATATTAATAATACTCCAAGTTCAAAGTCTCAGAACACAAACCTTCATTTTGACCTAGCCGTTTTGATAAACCTTAGCAAACTCACAAGGAAGACAGAGAGAGTGTGAGAACAAGAAAAAGCACTTCTTGAAGCTAAGTATCCAGTATTTTGCCATCAGACCTGGGACTTGATGCCAGCCTGACAGTTTCATACTCTGTCCAGAGAAGAAAATGACATGATGCCAATTTCTCCTTTCCCTAACTACCCACAGCACTTACAGTCTCTATCGTACATTCTGACCCAAGGTCCTGTTCGATGCAGCACTCTGTTGTACCGTCTTTTTATACTCCACTGGATTTATTTAAGTCTTGAAGGCTCAAAAAGTTTATAAGCTCTCTGATGAAAGAAACCTTGCCATGCTCTTCTGTTGCAACCTCCTAATAGTGGAAGAGCCTGCATTTAAATTAAATGATCCCTATCCAATACCTGTTCCAGGACTTAACTCTTCCTCTCCAGTTATAATTGAAGCCCATTTCACCTTTCGCCGCCCTCTGAGGATTTAGAGCTCCCGTGATGCCTACTGTCTAAATGGAAGCCCACTACAAACTAGAAAGCAATTAAATTACAACCCAGCCTTCTCTTTTTCTTCTTCCAATCCATTATAATTTTAGTCATTAGTGGATGTTGAACAGTTGCCATATCTTTTTAAGATGTGCAAACTCTGGCCAGGCGTTGTGGTTCACACCTGTGATCCTAGTACTCTGGGAGGCCAAGGCAGGAAGATTGCTTGAGCTCAAGAGTTTGAGACCAGCTGGAACCACATAATAAGATCTCTCTGGAAAATATATTTTGAAAGCCAAGCATGGTATTCCCAGCTACTCTGGAGGCTGAGGGAGAGGATCACTTGAGCCCAGCCGTTTGAGGTTGCTGTGAGCTATGATGACACCATTGCACTCTAGGCAGGGAAACAAAACAAGACTGCCTCAAACAAACAAAAATGACTTGCAAACTTCCTCCCACCTTCTTGTCTTTGATTTTTACAGCTTTTCAAAGGCCACTATTAAGGAAACCTCTGTGGTCTGTGGAAGGGAGATGTGGACCTCTGAGCCAATGGTGGGTACTAAAGCTTGAACCACCAGCATCAGAAATGGCTGGAAGGTCTTGTTAAACTACAGACTACAGGGACCCATCCCCATAAATTCTAATGCAGTAGGCCTGGGGTAGGGCCAGACAAGTTGTATTTCTAACACATCCTAATGTGATGTGCTGCTGTTGATCCATAGACCACACTGTGAGAACCACCCACCAGTCCAAGGGTAAATCTTTCTGTCAATTACGGAGCCAGCCAGAGGGCTGAGCATCTTTTGCACCATAAAGGGCTAAACACTGGAAGGAATGATATCTGTTTATCCCCAAGATGTGAAAAGTGACCAAAAAAGACCAACACTCCCCCCCCACACACACACACTGTATAATCTGGGGAAACTCTTTGTGCCCTTTTTGGAGCTCTTAATCCATTCTCCTCCTACTAGATTTCGAGACCTTGTTGGGGGTCAATTCTGCCCCCCTCAACTTTCCTTCAATCTTTTCCCTCTCTCTTGTACACGTCTCACCTCACAGGCACATTCCTAAATGGCTGTCACCTCCCTTTTGTTTAGCAACAGGTTAAAATGTAGTATAAATTCAGTGTTGGTATTTCACCACCTACATCTTAAAACCTCAGAGCTTGATTTCCACAACTGTTTTTTTTTTTTTAAATAAACTTCATCATTCCCTTTCAAAGGTCAGAAATGGCTTCCTGCCTTCTAAATGCTGTGACCTT